TTAAAGAATTCTCTTTCATTAACAATTGGATGTACCTCTTTTTCACATTTATATCAGCATGAGGCAGTGGCCACATGGCGACAGTTACAGGACCCTGGTAGCTTGAGGCCTGGTTTGCCAGGTCAGTTTTGATCTCAAGTAGAATCGTGGTACTACGCAATCTTTGGAACAGCCTCCAAGGATGCCTTGTCTCTCAAACATGTTCCCAAGTGCTTAAACCAGCGTTTTCCCATCTTAAATAACAAATATTGTAATATGAGGTGCTTCACCTCCTTCCTGATTCGAGACAACCTTCACACCTCATTGGACCTGTCATCAGTCGCTTAACGTCAAGCAAGTTTGAAGAGAATCGGATTACTCAACAGTCATATTTTATGAAACACTCCGTATAGTTCTTAAAATCTTAAAATATGTGGTACCGAACAAACAATATATGGCGAAGCCTGAAACTCGCCGGTGTTTAAATAAAAATAGCTGGACAGCCAGCCCCCCATGTCTCTTTGTCGGCCTTTCTACATTCCCAGCAGCTTCAAAATCGTTTTTTGTGTCGCGCAGCAGACGTGATACCACCGACCAGATTTTTCGAAATTCCAAATCCAAGGGGGTGAAACAAAACTTCAAATATTACAATACTTATTAACTGTTAAAAAAATAAAAAAACTGTTTAAATAAAAAAATATTGTAATATTTGAGGGTGTTCTCATTCTCTGAACTGGAAGGGAAATCTCAAATTATCGAATTTTCATTCTACCGTCTCAAAATATTTGAGCGCCGAGCGGTTTTAGCAGATCGTGCCAACAGTATGTCGCTCCCGCGATTTTATATCAGCAGATTATATGGGGAAATGCTCATCGACAGCCTTCCCGCCTGGCCGCGCCTTTTTCGATCACAAGCGGTAGCAGCGCTCAGAGAGCACCATGCACAGCGCCATCCACCGCCGAGGGCGGAAGTTCTGGAAGAGCTTTATCACGCAGAGCACAGTTTGCTGGTGCTCCCAAAGCCACACATTCGCACGTTTGTGGTCGAATACCGCCATATTGGGTGTTCCATTTAAAAGGAAAATCATCAGCCCAATGCCATTTTGCCTGATTCTGCCTTTTTCATTCTGATTTAGAGTACACAGTTTTTATTTTCCGTAATTGTTTCAGTATTCGTCAGTTGCAACATGAACGCAAGAAAGTTAACATAATGAGGAACTTACCGCTACCATATTATGTATTCTGAGTCTTCCGCGTCTTGCTCCAGAGTCCAAGTTTGCCCACGTCGAGATCGTCTCCTTCCATTCCACAGCTGACAGCGAAATTACATACCGGGAATGGAAGACCATCTTGCCGCGGGCCTTTTCCATAGCATGTCGAAGTTATCTCCCGTTTAATAGCAGCAGAGTTGCGGTCGTTACTTGAAGAAAGTTTTAAATATTTTTTTATTGGGATTGCTTTTGTGGGGCTGTAGAGTTTGCCGTACAGAGTTTTTAATGTTAAGATGTACTTTAGTTTAAATAATGCGTAACGACAGCATATTTTCGTTAGTCCAGAGCTGGCGTTCTGAACGAATATTGAGATATTGCAATTTTATTTTTTTTTTTTTTTTTTTTTTTTTTTTATAGCAAAATAAAAACACAATGCTTAATTATTTTAATATTTATTATTTAATAATATCCGATATGAGGATGATACAGTGATATTGGCAGCCAGAACATTGTTGAACATAACATACCGGCACCAAAGATATGTTGACTAAATCTGGGGCTCAGCTTAAAACACAAAATTTGCATCAACAGCAGTGGTAGGTCCATTTGAGCTTCGCCACACGCAGTAATAAACCGAGATTTGGTAAAGACGATCATCAGATATTTGCGCTTTGGCGAAAACTTTTTTCAGCCGAGTTTCTGCCAGCTTTTGTCTTCCACTGCTCCAGCAACCAAAACATTACGCTTAAAGTCAGAGCTGTTACTTCGGTGAACATTTAGCAAAAAACGTTGAATACGTCGGATCGGGTCTACGGTCATATAGTTAACAGCTATTGCTTTTTACCCGAGCTGTCAACGTTGTTTTGGGACGAGTAGGCATACTGGGATCGCTGCGTTATATTTGTCAAAACATTGGTATCACGCATCATCATGATTTATCTTCGGCTCATTTTTAAGTTGTAGCAGCAAATATGTGTTCTAAAGAATATCTATTGTATGTTTCGTAATCGTATTGAACAGAACGTCTATTTTCCTTTAACTATAATAGCGATACCGCCTACCAGGATAAACAAAGCGCTTGCTCAGCCGCCCAACAGCATGCTTGCCGACCCTTATTGCATCTTTTCCTCGATTATAAAGAAAATCGACGACCTTCACTAGCTTTATCGTTCTGCAAACTTGCTTTAAAGAATAGCGGCCAAAATACGACTTCTGGCTTTACGCTGAGTGGTCACAGATAATGGTAGTTTAGCACGAGGCTTTTTTAAAGACTACAGCAACGAGATGATGATAAACACGTCAAAATAAAGATATATACGAATATAGTTTAAAAGTAGCCAGGAGATATATTATTGTTTTTTTGGGCCCGCTGAAGTACAGCAAAGCAAATAGTCTGGCAGTAGATGGCTATCATTATCAATTTTTTTGTAATGAGCTGTAAAGAAAAATAATACTAACTGATAATACAGCTGGTCATAGACGCACATGAAGCTGTTAGAGGATAGCTCCTCTTTCATTTTAACTTTAATTTTATATTTTAATTATTGGCTGATATCTCATTTCTAGTCATTACATGCCCCCTCGGCCGAGTAAGACGAAACAGTAACCAACCATCTCAAGCGGAATGCACACTGTCTCCTATTAACCTCTGACGAGTTAGATACGCTGCATATTTTTTTCGTTTTTTTAATGGAACAAACTGTATAGTATTTTTTCGAAAATTTTTTTTTATTTTTTTTCCATATTCATTTCCTTCCATAATTTTCTTTCTTGGCAATATTAATGAGATAGAGCCAGCTTTTTTAGATTGTCGTGCCCATTTTGTTGTCGCTGGTGCATCACTGCCGATTGAGCAGTCCTCACTACGGGCGACTTCAGCCCATTATGCTTGACGCAGAACTGAAGATTCAATACTCTGGTTGTATTTCAGCCGTTGCTAGGGCAGCTGTTCAGATAGATTGCTTTCGATTTACCTGCAGCAGTGGAGGGGGCCTCAGATGATTAAAACTTTATAAGCTGACAGTTTTAAAACAAATTTGTCGAAAACGAAGTTCATGATTTGTTGTAGTTGAGAACATGGAGAGGAACTGAGGTTTTTTCAACTCATTTTAACGAAATTTGTTACTTGTTTGTCTTTCGTGTCAGCGATCCTGTCGGTTCGTTTGCCTGAGTTTCAGTTTTGCTGATACCGAGTGAACCCAATGTTGAGAAATGTCTGCTCAGCAGTTACAACGGTTTCAGATGCATGCGCAGATAATGGCTGCACGGTGCCAGTCCGCACGAACCGCAGTCACAGTCACGATACAGCGTCAATACAGCGGGGAGCTCACGAACCAGAATCATCTGCAGCCTCCCCGATAAGCCGCGTCGTGTTCCTTACCATGGAGAACGGCAACGAAACGCCGACAGCAGTCACACTTCCGGGTTGCTGTAACCTCAACATTAGCTTGCGTTCCGGTTATTTAAATGTCATTTTAGTATATCGACATATGTTATATCTTCGTTTCAGTAAGATGAATCAGTGGTCATGGTCAGTAACGACAAAGATGAATAGCAGTGGGTCACCGAAGAACATCCACAGTCACGTAACGAGTCACCTTCCGTCAGAGAACAAAATCTTATCGACACAGCGTATCGTATGTGGATCATTATCGTACCAAGTTCTATATTTCAGGAGATGGAATGACGACAGAAACAAACAACAGATGAAGGCAGCGATCGCTATCATTAGTTGCGCAGATTACTTCATGGATGAAACATGGCGACTTCACCGAGGAATGCGACCAGAGCATCGTCAGAAATGGATCGCCATTAGAAGCAGCAATGAGTATTACCAGCGATAATGAAACGAAGCCATTGCTGAGATGGAATAGGCACGAGTGATAGCAAATGTAACACATGGTCATCGCCTCCCGTATAGTGAGCAAACATTGATTACCTGAACGAAAGACATTGAGTGAATAGAACAGCGAGCAGCCTGACCGGATCACTGCACAGGTGATGGAAGGCCCGAGAGCATGGCTGGCTACATATTGGCTACAAGGCTACATATTACATATACATACATATATGACATCACATCAGACAGTCAGCAATTGAAAGCAGAAAAGAATAGCCGTGCCTGATGCCTGCTCAGTGGCCCAGAGATCAAAGACGAGCTATGAGGTGATCCATCTCAACTGCTGCACAGCATGGCAACAAACACAAGATGCTGGCGAATGACTAGTTTCAGAGACGGCTTGTACAGATTAGCAGCAGTTGCGCTTATAGCCGGTTCCTTCCAACAGCCCTTAATCTAAAAGAAAGATCATCTATCCGAGTATGAAAGATCACCGGAGGTGAGCGCAGGAAAATGCGACGATGCCATCTTCTGCCCGACAGCGTTATGGGGAATCAGACCAGGCTTATCGGCGGCCGTTTTAAAATACTTTTGAAAGACAGGGCTGGTATAACCGCAATATTGGTCGAAATGACGATGCCAACACCGGCGCCTTCGTTCGTGGCCGCAATCCAGCCCGCAGCGGTTGCTCACCGCAAATACGAAGATAGAGAAGCCCAGAAATGTTCGAAACAGCGAGCTGCTGGATGGTTGAATGCAGCGAAAGACAAGAAGGGAATATGCGTTTACGCTTCTCTGTGACGGCCCGGTGATATATAAGCTCATTTATTCGTGATGAGTCTACGATATAATATTGGTCATATACCATAGATTTTACAGCGTGCTACGTTATGTTGAACATGTACTATCAAATTAGTGTTTTGATTTCTGTTTGCGTTGCTACTGGAATTAGCGTGACTCATCATAGGACATATGGACGTGAGGAGACAGCGGCGTAATGAGGATTCGATTGCTTCGCGCCTTCAAGGGGAAAAGCTTGCGGATTTCGACGGTATGGTCTTCGAAGTTTTTTACTCTCCGAAAAAAAAATATATGAAGATCGACGAAAAATTATTCCGAAGAATACCGGAATGTGACGGAAGTTAGCCCGAATGTAGTATATATATATATATATATATATATGTTGTTATATATATATGTTGTTATGAGCAGCATATAAGAAGAGAAGAAGCAGGTTATATATATATATATATATATATATATATATATATATATATATATATATATATATATATATATATAAAGTATATATATTGGGTCTTTATAAAATGCTTTGTAAATATAGATTGATTGGGTGGAAAATGAGTTTCTGGTCAGATAAACTGGGGGTGGAACAAAATAGCCTAGTTGAAATGTTCTCTGTTTTTTCAAATTGTCGCAGGAAAATCAAGATATGAAGCGGTCGCCTTTTGGCCTGACCGGGGAAAAGAATACTTGAGGAGCAACAGGAGGTACCACACATTCCGACGAGACAGCTGGACACACCCCTCCACCTTCACCATGTCTCTCCGGCTCTATCTCCGATATCCACCTGTTCGGCTCTTTTGTATTGGCTATATCGGCCTGTTCCGTATCAACTCCTCAGCATTGCAATACCTACATTGTTTAAAGCCTTACCTTGTACCTCTGTGTCTCTCGAGGGAACAGATTCTTTGTGCTAGTGGGGCAATAGATTTCCACCAAAAAGTGAAATAACAAACACCGTGCCTTAATCAGTGCTGTCAACTCAGCCTGATACGTTCACGTCAAATGGATCCGAAGGGAACGACAGTGTGTATTGTCCTTATTCATTTGTTATTTATTAAGGGTCATGGCTTTATGGGTTGCCAACAAAAACCGTTTTTTCGTAGTTACTTTTTAAGTATTTACTGGCGAAAAATGGGTATAATACAGTGAACAATCCACCTCGACAGCCGCAGCTGGCTTGGGTGTTGAGCCTTAGCGGCTTAACGTAACAAAAGAGCAGCTTGTCATTCTATGGAATATAGCCACACATCAATTTTGTTCTTTATTAGACTAGTCCCAATCTCGATATCGCCGATAATTGAAATTCAGTTTTTTTCAGATTTAATCACACTATTGTCGGGAAGGTGCAGTTAACGCCAGTGCTGCGCTACTTGCCAGCAGCAGAATCTGTTTTCAGAGAATGTGGACCAGAAATCATACCAATAGCGGCGGGGCGGTTGGCATGGTTGTTGATTAGCTCGTAACAAAATCAATGTTGTTAGATGGCACCGAATATCGGCTGGTTTCACCGGTTACCCGGATGGTCGGCAGCTTGTGAAGCAGTCTGCGATTTCAAAACCTTTCATTTCCGTAAGAAGAGAAAATCGCATTCGTCAGTGGCGAGTCAGTCCATCTTCGTAGGCACCGATGACTCTCGTCGCGTATTTCACCAGACGAGTCTTGCTTTTTTCAGTCTTCAGCGGACCAGCATAAGCGTTTAAAGGTGATAGAATGTTTGCCATCAGGTGCAATAGTGCTTGGTACCTGCGCTTCTTCCGTCACGCCACACGATCGCTTTAATGCAGCGGCTCAACACAGTATTGAAAGCCGCCGACGGTGAAACATTTGAGCAGCGTCGTACGCAAGCAGTCGTCGGGGTTGTTTGTTTTTGGTATTTTTTTTTTTTTTTTTTTATTTTATTTATGATATAACTGCTAAAAATGGCATTTTATTTTTAGTCTTTAATAAAATATGGTAAATATCTTGGCCTCTTACAAAATATAAAAATAAAATAAAATACGTTTTTTTTTAAACTAAACGTCAAATATTTGTATTTGGTATATGTCCGCCCCAAGTCCGCCCAAAAACAAAATAACGGGGAACTGAACTTTTTGGGCGACTAGCCAAGGATGAAATATATTTGCATGCGACGTACTCAAAAAATGTTTCACCGGTCAGCCATCCATTTTCTGACTTTCCGATACCCCAATGTTCTGGTACTTTTTCGGCAATTGATTTGAGAACTCTTTTTAATTAAAAACGATCATTGATGGTAAAATTTGACCGGAGGCACTACAAGTTACCAAAGTCGTTAGACACTCCTTCTCACTATTACTTACAAATGAGTAAACTGTTCTATCACCCTTTCTAACTAAAACCTTGTCTCCTTTGGTTTGGTTTGGTCCTTTGGGACTGAGGAAAAAAGCCGTTTCGTCGCAATTGAATACGCGACGAGGGTCATCAGTTATACGAAGATAGTTTGACTCCTCTAAGAAGGCCCCTACTTCTATGAACCACTGACGAATGCGATTTTCTGTAAGGCTGTTTCTTGCAGATGAAAGGTTTTGAGAAATCCTTGGAGCCAGTTCCTGATGCCTTCTAAGAAACAATTCGTATCATTTACGTCCAGGCCTATTGTATGTGAAATTATTCGGCCTATTCAGTTCTTTAACCAACAGCTGAACACTATCTAACAACATTGTTTTTGTTGCAGGAAATCCACGGGCTGCAATCCGAAATAGCCATGCCAATACATTTTTTTCTTCTTTGTTAGTATGGTTTCTGGTCCACATTTCTTCTCTAAAGCCGTTCTGCCTTTAACTTTGTCTTGTAGGGTCGACCTGGGTACTTTAAATATCTTACTAGCTGCTTTAAATGGCATTCCAGATCGAATGGCGTTAACAGCTTTATTTAGGTCTTCCACAGAATAGAGAATCCGTTTTTCTTTTCCATTTCCATTGTCGTGTAATTTAAATCTGAAAAAATAGATTTCTAATTATCGGCACGTGAGTGTATGTATTTTCGGCACTACTATTATATCAAAAGTTAGGTTTAATTTAATAAAAAAGGGTGCCAAAAATTGGTGTAAAATCTTGTGGCTTTATATTCCATAGAATGACCAAACACTTCTTTTGGTACGTTAAGGGCTAAAGACAAAATCAACCCAAATACAGTTCAATGCGTATAACCAATTATCGGCATATCTGCCGAAAATTGGATTATTCACTAATATTTATATACCCATTTTCGGCACCCATTAAATACTTAAAAAAGTAGCTACAGAAAAGCAGTTTTTGACAAGCAATTACATAAAATATATATTATATCATGTAAATGAATAGACAATGCACACTATCCGTTCCGTTTCCTTCCGTTCCATATCCTTTCTTCCATACATTTTATGGACGGACTGAAGCGTATCAGAAACAGAGTTGTCAAGTTCTTACATTTGTACCAGCTTTGTTAAAATTTTGCTGATATTTATTTATTCTTCCACTTTTTAATTAAATCTATTACCTTTTTCAGAAGATTTACTATAAAAAAATCTATTACCTTTTTCAGAAGACAAATTTTTAAAATAAAACTTTCGTAATGATATAAATTGCAGGGGACAATAACAAGTATGGAACTGATATGAACGGAAGCATGTATAGCGCCAATACAATAAAAAAATACCGAACGGATATGGATTGGATATGGAATAGAAACGGAAGGTATAGTGAGGAATCAAACCTTAAGGTGGAAAGAATTAGTAACCAACTAATCTCATCCGGAATGTGTAGATAATTACCTCCTGTTTAACTCCTCAAAAGTCCTATTCTTTCCTTAGTGGAAGAAGTTAAAAACGGCCGCTACTTATCTTGAATTTTTCCGTTTTTTTTCAACACATTTCCGTTTGTATAAGTTTGTTTTCAAAAAAATAAAGAAATGGTTTTGTAGAGCTATTTTTATTTTTAGTTTATCTATTAGAAATAATTTTCCGCCCCTTTTATTGAACCAATCAATTATAATACGTATTTGGCGATTAAAAGTGTATTTTCATTAAAGATAATACGGTTTATTTTTACAAAAATAAAAAATATATATAGTATATATATATATATATATATATATAAGAGTATATATATATATATATATATATATATATATATATATAGTATATATATATATATATATATATATATATATATATATATATATATATATATATATATATATACATTCGGGCCTAACTTCCATCCACCTTGTGCGATTTTCCCATCGATCTTCGGTCAGATTTCTCTCGCTCATTGATCTTCATATATTTTTTTTTTTCGGAGGGGTAAAAAATCTTCAAAAGACCATACCGACCTGGTGTTCTGATAGCCGGCGTGTGTCGGATTCGAACAAGTCCGCCTACCGACTAAAAACTTCCCTTTGAAGCGAAGGCGCAGAAAAACGTATCGGAATCCGCTCTCGCATTTCTTCGATACGCCCCGCCTCTCTCTCCTCCACATTCCATATGTCCTATGGTGGAGTCACGCTATAGTTGAAATTCCAGTAATAACTTAAACGACAACACAAAACAAAATCAAACACCAATTTGATAGTACATGTTCAACATAACGTAGCACGTATAAAACTCTATAGGTATATATATTACCGTATCACAGATAGGTAAGCATTCATCACAGATAAATAGTATATATCACAGATAGGCATCACAAGGAAATTAGAGCATATTCACTCTTGTCTTTTTTCCTTCTGTTCTATTATCTTTCTAATTGTATCATAGGCATGTTTCCAAGTTGTTTCGCATTCGATTAGACTCTCTATCATATTATTTGCGGTGAATACTTTTCTCCTGTCTTTATTGTATGTTTCGTTCTGTCGACCACCTTGGACAGTGAAACATGGTGTGTTCAACATCGTCGATTTCATTACAATAATTGCAGTTGCTACCAGTACTCCTCTTCTTTCAAAAGAGGTATTTTTTTAAAACAAATCGTTTCCCGTCAATGCAAGCTTGTGTCAAAAATAGTCTGTTCCCCATAAGGTCTTTGCAATCCATTTGTCGAGACTATTAGGATGAGTTTATATGTCCATCGTCCATATTTTCCTGCACTCCATTTTTCCTGCCATCTCTCCAGTGATCTTTCACGTGCCTCAGTTCTACATAAGCTGCGGTATACCTTCTGATCTTTCTTTAATTAAAATTTCTAGCTGGAGGAACTCCGGCTATAACACCAACTGCCTCTCTGGATACCGAACGATAGGATGAGGTAATCCTAATACAAGCCGATCTCTGAACTCTTGCAAGTCGGTTCATAAGCGTCTTATTGTTTGTTGCCGTCTGCCATGCTGGTGCAGCGTATAGAAGTTGGGAATGGATCACACTCATAAGTACGCGTCTTTTTGATCCTCTGGGCCCACCTAGATTGGGCATGAGTCTAGCTAGCGCAGCTGCTGTTCTTTCTGCTTTTTCAATTGCCTTATTGATATGTACAGTAAATGATCTTCATATATAGAGAGTATAGAAGAGTATATATATATATATATATATATATATATATATATATATATATATATATATATATATATATATAAGTACATTCGGGCCTAACTTCCATCCACCTTGTGCGATTTTCCCATTGATCTTCAGTCAGATTTTTCTCGCTCATTGATCTTCTGATTCCTTCCATCCATGTTTTCTTGGGACGTCCTCTCTTTCGTTTACCAGGTGGTATCCAATGACATACTTGTTTTGGAATTCCCTCGTTTTGCATTCTCTGAACGTGGCTGTACCATAGTAATTGTTTTTGTTCTATATCACTCATTATTGTTCCTTCTATTCCCATCTGTAGTCTAATGTCTTCATTTCTGATTCTATCCTTTCGTGAAATTCTCATTGCTCTAATGGCGTCCATTTCTGTTGTCTAATTTCCTTTTATTCCTTTCAGTGAGTCGCCATGTTTCACATCCAGAGTAATCTCGCTTTTTAACTAATGTCTCGTATATATTAAATTTCCTGTCCTTTGTAATTTCAGTGCTCCATAGAATCCCATTTATGCATCTGATAACACTTCGTGCCTGTATTACTCTGTTGTTTATTTCTCTATCGTCCGTTCCATCTCCTGTAAATATAGAACCCAGGTACGTGTATTCTCCACATACATTAATTTCCATATTATTGTCCAAAATAAGATTTTCTGTATTTGCTCCTATTGGAAGGTATTTCGTTTTTCGGTATTTACTGTGAGATCCCATTTAGAATATTCTTCAATTATTTTTCGCACCATTCCATGTCATCTTTGTCATTTGCAATTATGGCCTGGTTGTCTGCAAATTGCAAGGTGTATAAGCATATGTCATTTAGTTCTATACCCATTCCGTGACATTTTATTTTCATAAATGTAAGGCCTTAGCAATGTAGATTTTAAATAATGTTGGGGATACACAGCAACCCTGTCGGAGTCCTTTAGTGATAGCAGTTTCCTCTGAGAGACCGTTTGCCGTTTTTATTTGTGATTTTTCTCCATGGTAAAGATTTTGTACAGCTTTTATCAGAGCTGCGTTAATTCTGGATTCGTGAAATACTTCCCATAACATTATTATTGGCACTGTATCATTGGCTTTTTGTAGGTCGATAAATGTTATGTGAACTTCCTGGTTCATTGCAGATTTCTTCTCGATTATCTGTTTCCAATGCAAATATATTATCTGTACATGATTTTCCGCCTCTGAAACCATTCTGCTCTTCTTCTTCGTAGCTGGAGTATTCCTCTTCAATTAGGTTCCTCAGTATCCTTCCATAAAGCCGACTCAAGGTGCTGGTGACCGAAATTCCCCGATAGTTATGGGACTTTATTTTGAAAAAGATGTTCAAGTATAAATTTAAGCATTATAAAATAAAAATAAGGATTGGAAAAAATTGTGTTCCTATATGTTCTTATAACTACAACAAAATTTGCTATGATGTCATCATGAACTTCATTTTCGTTCCCTTTTATTAGGGTTCGAAGATTAAATTGTGTTTTAAAACTGTATCAAGCTATATAAAAAGTTTTAATCATCTGAGATACACTCTATATACTGCAAGAATTGCATCAAGATAAGCCATTAAGTCTATCTATAATTTAGCTACTTACCCTCTTAACGGTAAAGATACAATAAATTATTGGAAATGTGAAGTTCTGCTTTTTAGATCCAAGAATGAATAGGTAACAAGTTAAATCCTTTGCAGTATGGGTGGGAAAAGGTTCAAAATAAGTATATATCCAATCAACAGATGATGCACCAGCTGACCAACTAAAATTAATTTTTGACAATCTAAAAAATAGCTCTATCTCCGTTAATATTTACTTAAGAAGAAAATTATAAGAAGTGGAAATTGAATTCTCTACAAAAAACATTTTTTTTTATTTTGATTTTTTCGAAAAAACTTGAAGATATTATAAAAATATATATTTAAAAAACGAAAAAATCCAAGATGGCGGCGTTTTCTTTCAAACTTCCGTCCCTGAGATCGAATGGGAGTTTTGAAGGGTTAAATAGGAGACAATTATCTACACATTTCCGCTGATTGGTTGGCATTATTTTTTCATCTTTACAGTAATACTCGGCCGAGTACTCGGCTATCATGTAATATTTAAAGTAAGTTATCATGTAATAATTAAAATATAAAAATTAAAGTTAGAAATGAAGAAATGAATAGTGACATCCTCAACAGCATTTTTTTCGTATTGGGTCATTTTGTTATTGTGTGTACAATATTATCAGTTAATTGTTGTTTTTTCTTTTGCAATCGATTTTAAAAAGAATTGATAAAGTTCATGCCTTTTTAATCTATATTCTAGCAGATAACAGCATATGCGTAAAACTTCAGAGCTTCAGTAACCATTATGCAGTTTAAAAAATAATGTATATCTCCGCAACAAACAAACTATGATATTTCGTATAAAAATCTTATTTTGTTCGTTATTCCTGTTTATCGTATTTCAGTCTATCATTTATATCAGGTCTATAGATTTTTTTTTAAAAGTTACTCATAAATATTTCGTGCCTAAACATGACCTCTATTGCCATTTTCTATCTGTGTACGATACACTTCCCAGCGTGAAAGGTAAGAGATTGAAGTCGTGTAATTTTTGGCCACTGGTTCTTTTAAAAATAAGTTTTAACGATAAAATAGTGAAAGATACGTCGATTTTCTTTTTGGAAACGTCTTGTAATTCTTATAATCGAGGAAAAATCTTAATAAGGAGTCGGCAAGCATGTGCTGTTGAAAGTGCAGCTAGAATGAACCCAAATAAAACGGTTTATCTACTTTATGCATCCCCTGGTAAGTGTTTAAGTATCCTTTATTATAGTTAAAGGGAAAATAGATTGTTCTGATACTGTTCCAATACAGTTACAGACATACAATAGATATTCTTTTTAAATTTTATATTTGCTATACAACTAAAAAATAGGTATTGAGAAAAAATCATATTATAATTTTCCGTGTCACTGTAATGATACACTTATACTCAATGTTTACACTGATAAATATATTTTCTTGAATCAAGAGTAGGTATACCTACTCATGTCCCAAAACCCCTATAACTAACGTTATTTTATCAGATAAAAAAAACGAGATTTGGTATGTTAATATATGACATAAATTAAGATTGATTGACGTATTCAATTGTTTTTGGTCACTTCGTGTTTCACCGGAAATGACTACAACTTCTGACTTTTAAATGGCATGTTTTTGGACACTGGAATTGGTGGAAGACCAAAAACAATAAGATAGAGCTCGGCTGGAAAAGAGAGTTTTCATAGAAGCAAATGTACATCTGACTTGTTCGATCTTTGCCAAAATCTCAGTTTTGGGATTGCAAGCATTGTTAACGAGGGCTCCTAGATATTTTATGGACCTACCACCTTGTTGTTAATTCTGAGGAGTGCATATTTCGGTGTTTTGGAAAATACAACAATTTTAGTTTAGTCAACATATGTTTAGTTATGACAGTTATGTTATGTTCAACAATGCAGTCCATCATGTTCTGAATGTGTAGAACTTTGCCAGCTAATATGACCGTATCAACCTATTTATTACTGACATTTAATCGATATTTCATAGATATTGTTAAATATTAAAATAATTAAGCATTTATTATTTAGGTATGTTTCGAGATGACCATACCCAATCGGATGAACTAATCAAGAACTTAATGGCTTACCCTAATATAAAATTGCAATATCTCAATATGAAAAAGTTCGTTCAAGGAACGCCAGTTGAAAAGCTCTGGACTAGCGAGAAAATATATCGTTCAAAATATATTTTACCGCATATGAGTGACATTTTAAGGTAACTAAATTATATGTATAAAGAACAACTCTATTATAATACAGCAAAATATACAGCTACAAAAAGAAAGCGAAGAATTACAATAAAAATATTTAAAACTTTTTAATTTTCAAAGTAACGTTTTTAATCCTGCCTTTTGGTTAAAACTGGGGAATATAACCGACATGTATGGAAGAATTTTGTAGAAAAATATGATAGTGAAACATTTCAGTGTAATAAATTTAGTTTCTTATTCAACTTTCAGATATTTAACTCTATGGAAATATGGAGGAATATACATTGATCTCGACGTGATAGTAACGAAAAACTTGGACTCTCTGGAGCAAAACTTTGCTGGTGCGGAAGACTCAAATTACATAGCCAGTGGCGTGATGGGATTTAGCAGTAAAGGGATAGGACATCAGTATGTTAACTCTTGCGTTCATGACTTGGCTGAAAACTTTGACGGGGATGCGTGGAGTGCAAATGGGCCTTTGGTTGTCACGAAGTAAGCAATTTTAGGAGAAAATGAAGTTAAAAACATTGTACTCTAAATCAAATTAAAACTTGACCCAAAAAGTTATACAGGGTCAGGTAAAATTAATATTGAACATTGGTCACATTTAAGAGCAGGTTACTCCTTTATTTTAAATGGAACACGCAGTATATTATTCCAGTATTCCATTACAAAAAAACATTGTACTTAGATGTGTAACTTTTTTTAGAGACACCATATACTAGAACTCTTTATAATTTAAAAAAGTGCACTAAATTAATCTTAATATGCTCACAAAATTTCATGTCAATACAAACTGTCGTTCTCCTTAGAGCCTCCGCCCTCAGCGTTGAATGAGAGGCGCCACCGTCTATCGTGTATTATACCAGTGGATTGGCGCTAATGCATGGTACTCTCCCAAATACTACTACTACCGTATGATCGAAAAAACACGGCATCCAGTTGGCTGGGAAATGACTATCGATGACATTTCCCATATAAATCTATACTGATATATAAAATCCTTAAGTGACTGACATACTGATTAATCACGATCCTGCTCAAACCACTCAACGTAAGAAGCTCAATTTTGGCATACAGGTTGATTCTAGGGTGTAGAGGTTCGATAAGACGGGATTTTTTCGAAATTCCAGTTCAAGAGGGTGAAACCACCCTCAAATATTACAATATTTTTATTTAAAAACGGTCAAGTTTCCGAAAAACGCTTAAACACGTATATTTTATTTTCTTTTTTACAAATTTTATGATTTTTTAAAAATGTATACAGGGTGTTTCGAAAAATCTGGTCATTGATTAATCACGATCCTGCTTAAAGCGCTTGACGCAAAAAGCTGATTTTTGGAAAACAGATTGACTTTAGGGTGTAGAGGTTCGATAAGAAGGGATTTTTCGAAACTCGAATTCTAAGGGGGTGAAACTAATCCCTCAAATATTAAAATATTTTTTATTTAAACACCGGTGAGTTTTCGGAAAAACTCTTAAACACGTATAATTTATTTTGTTGTTTTACATATTTTAAGATTTTTATAAATTTATACAGGGTGTTTCATAAAATATGACCATTGAGTAATCACGATTCTGCTTAAACTGCTTGACGTTTAAAGCTGATTTTTAGTAAACAGATTGACTGTGGGGTGTAGAGGTTCGATAAGGAGGGGTTTCTCGAATCTCAAATTCCAAGAGGGTGAAAACGCCCCTCAAATATTACAATATTTGTTATTTAAAAACGGATAGATTTTTGGGAAAACGCTTGGACAAGCATAATTTATTTGGTTTTTTTACATATTACGAAATATTTTAAAAAATCATACAAGGTATTCCAAAAAGTTGGGTAATTTCTTAACCACGATTCTGCTTAAACTGCTTGACGTAAAAAGCTTATTTTTGGCAAACGGATTTTTCGAAAGTCAAATTCCAACGAAATGAAACTACCCCTCAAATATTACCAAGTTATATAATAATATCGCCATATTGTTTTTTCTCATTCTGACATAAATGTGAGAAAATTTTTATCCAGTTTGTAAGTTAATGGAAATTCTTGCTTTGTTTTATCATCACCATTACAAATGATTAATTCGACGCGAACGAAGTCGCTGGTACCGCTAGTTTACATATAAAATGACAGCGATCTTCATTTCATAGCCATCGCTGACGCCGTTTTTTTTCGATCATGCGGTACTACTGCCATTACTCGCTAATGAGTATTTGACGCATCAGAATATGGTTACGCAGGATGTTTTCTTTTAAGAACTTTTCTGTGATTGAAAAGTCCAATTCGTGATGTTATCTCTCTTTCGCACTGGGGACATTAAAAACCTCATTATTTTGTTGCCTTTTTCATAAACTTTTCATATACTCCTTCGTGGAAAATATATTTGTACCTTTTGAGTTGTCCACCCAGTTTCCTCTTACCTTAACCAAGCTCACCGTAAAAAAGAGATTTTGGTAGGCGGTTTTCTTGCATCCTGCATACGTGACAAGCCCATCTTAAGCGGGATTCAGTAATCATGACTTTAGTGCTCTCGCAGGTAGCTTTTTCAAGGACCGATACGTTAGAAACATGGTGGTACCATTTGATTCTTAAGAGTTGTCTAAGATGTATCTGTTGTAACTTGTTTAATGCGTTTATGTGCCGGCGGTACGGCGCGGCACCCAGGTTTTGCTTCCGTATAACATGGTGGGGAATATTATTGCTATATATAAAAATAAACTTAGTTGAAACAAAACACAAATTATCAGAAATTTGCCGAAAATGGATACTTATCATACGCCAGAGAAAAGCGATATGATTCTATTAGTTGGTGAATGCATTGTGCATTAACCAATTAATAGAATACTTAAATGCTCCTGATTTTGTAGTGTGAACTTTTTTTTATGGTGATATGTGTTAAAGACAGTGTTTACAAAACTCTACCAACTATTGTCGACAACATGGGAGAAATGAATGTGGCTGTTGGAAGTGCCCACATCGAACACTCCACGATATATTATATCGTCCCATTGCTGCCAAAAGTCACTAACTTACTTTTTATTACTTCCGAGAAAAATGCGTCTAAAGATGAATTGCATTGCATAAAGATGTTATAGTTAGTAACTATTCGGTATTAAAATAAAACATAAATAGCCAGAAATCGTAGTTAATGACTTTTGCAATCGATTCTCCGCTTCAAAACATAGTTAGTGATTGAATTTGGTTGTTAGGAAAAATGTTAGTTAGTTACTTTTGGCAGCAATAGGACGATATGATATACAGGGTGGCCCATCGAAAATGTTCCGCTAGGCATAACGGCCAGGGTAATTTTTTTCAGAAAATTCAAAAATTCAAAAACACGTTAACTTTGTTTATGAGGGGGACAACGTTTGCCCCAAAAATGATTGCAAAATCTTCAACCCTTTAAGCAGGGGTGTCATCCCCCAACTTTTTTGAAATGGGAAGGGGGGTCAAGTGGTACCGCAATGAAAAGGGCTTTTTATTCTCTATTCTTTCCCGCTTCGTTTTTGAAAATCGGTCGAGTCATTGAGAAAATATGAAGGATTGAAATTTGAAAAGTTTATTTAAACATTTATCAGAGTAAATGATAACGATAAATTCCTTCGACCAATTTGCTGTTTTTTCTTATTATTTCTAGATGTTTACGCATTTTTTCACTTGCCACAAGGTTGAACAATCAGGTGCGGCAGTTGCTAGATAGCTGTTCTGTGACTTGTGCGTTGAAGTTCTTCCAATATCGTTAAACTCCCAAAATTTCATTTCGATATAAACTACAGTTCTCCTTGGAGCATCCGCGTCGTATGGGAGGCGTCACCCTGTATAAAATTAAACAAATATTATTAATTAAATATTTTATTTTAGTTTAGGCAACAGATTATGCAATGCAGACTTTAAGGACTTTATCGGCCAGTCCTGCCAAGATTTCCACATATATCCACCAGAAGCTTTTTATGCCATTCCGTTCCATACGTGGGAACAGTTTTTCAACAATAGCGAACTCGCCAACGTTAAGGAAAAAACGCAAGACAGTTATCTCATACACGTATGGAATAAACTCAGTTACCACGCGAAAATTCCTATTGACGACGATGTACCTTATTTGGACTTTGCCAGAAAGTACTGTCCGGGAACAGTTCGGCATTTAAAGAGATATTTTTAATGAAATTTTGTTTTAATTTTATTGATTTGATTTATGGTAAAGTATTTGTTTACAAAAAAACTGAGGATAAATACAGAAATGATCTGCACTGTTAATGAAAATATTTATTGTGTATAACTTGTGTAATTTATGTACTATTTATTTAAAATAAACGTTTTTGTTATTCAATTTTTTATATTTTTTAAAACAAGTTTTATCAAAGGTTTTATACAGGGTTGTTCACCACATGCGACACGGAGTATTGTAGCTAAACGATTAGATTTTTACAAATTGTAAGTTTTGGGTTCGTTGAAGGACTATTAGAGCTACAATTTAAAAATATTTTTACAAGATACAGAGTGTCCCAAATAAATAAAAAATATCAAGGTTGTATTTTTTTAAATGGAACACCCTGTATATTATTGCATTTTTAGTTTTTACGATTAAAATGAAGGTATATTTGATTAAGGTTTATTACACTTAAACCTTACCGTTTTTGAAATATTTTCAATTTTGCGAAATTGCAGTATAAATTTTAAGGCTTCATTTCTCCGAGGATATCAAAGTTTTTAATAATAAATATTTACTGAAGTTTATTTATTGATCAGTTATTGTGTTGCAATATTAAAAATTATACTACCTTATACAGAGTGCCTAAAAATTTTAAATAATTATCTACTAGCTTTAAACGGCAATAACTTATTTACTTTAAATAGAACACCCTGTATATTTTATGAGAATCAGATGTACAATTTAATTGTCTATCAAATTGTATTATAACACTTCTTACCTATTCCTTCAAGTTTTCGTAAAAAATGCATTTTCTTATAATTTAGACCTCATTTATCAATATACCCATAGAATATTTACGTTTTAGATTGTTTTTAAAACAACAAATGTACAAAATGTACAGGCTAGTAATATTATCGTTTTTAGTAAAATATATTATCGTTTTTAGTAAAACGATAATATTACTAGCCCATTTGTATACAAAAAGAAAACTATTTAAATCTTTATAAAAGAGTGTACCACCAGTATTTCCGCCCTAATACTAATTAACTACATACTTAATTGTGTTCGTTAATAAATTACTCTAAATAAATGTGGATTTGAATCAGAAATCAATATAATAATAAGTTATGAAAATGAACGTCTCTGTTATAAATAAGCATTTGTCAAAAAATTAAATATCATTTTTAAGGTGTTACTTTTTACCACACTGTCTAATACACTTACATAATTCAGTTTTTTAGTATTTGGAGCAATTATTATTAATCAACGCAAACAGTCAATTAATGTAGTTTGAATACTGGAATCATATTAATTGGTCCTCTTTAGCAAATATTTAAACAGTTTTTTTTATTTTTTAATGAAATAAACGAACTATATCGAAAATATTAGTATCTGTACTCTTTAAAAATTTAGTACATCTTTAAAAATAATCTAAAATGTCAGTATTCCATGGGTAAATTGATAAATGAGTTCTAAATTACAAGAAAATGCATTTTCTACGGAAACTTGAAGAGATGGGTAAAAAATGGTATAATACAGTTTGATAGACAATTAAATTGTGCATGTGATTCTCATAAAATATACAGAGTGTTCCATTTAAATTAAACAAGTTATCGTCGTTTAAAGCTAGTAATTATTTAAAATACATTTTTAGACACTCTGTATAAGGTAGTAAAGTTTTTATTATTGTAACACAATAACTGATCAATAAATAAACTTCAGTAAGTATTTAGTATTAAAAACTTTGATAGCCTCGGAGAAATGAAGCTTAATTTTTATACTGCTTAAAATTTATACTGCAATTTTACAAAATTGAAAATATTTCAAAAACGGTAAGGTTTAAGTGTAATAAACCTTAATCAAATTTACCTTTATTTTAATCGTAGAAACTAAAAATGTAATAATATATAGGGTGTTCCATTTAAAAAAATTCAACTTTGATATTTTTTATATATTTGCGACATCTTCTAAAAATATTTTTAAATTGTAGCTCTAATAGTCCTTCAACGAACCCAAAACTTACAATTTGTAAAAATCTAGTCGTTTAACTACAATACTCGGTGTCGTATATGGTGAACAACCCTGTATACAGGGTGGTCCGCACTGTATTTCGGAAACTTTGGCAGTATATTCTGCAGATAAAAATAAGTAAAAAAGTTCGTATAAATGTATGTCTTAAAATGCTTAGTTTCAGAGATACAGGGTGTAGAAGTTTCATTTTTATTTCGATTTTTTCTAAATAATTTCTAAAATAACGTCAATATTTGGACGAAAATTGATGTCTGGGAGTTTTTTGACATGATAAATTTGATTTTGATGTCAATATGACTCCTACTAGTAGAGGGCGCCACCTACGTGTGTTTTAACTGTTTTGAAGCGTAATAAATGTTTGTCCGTACCTGTATAAAACTACCGAGTGAAAAAATATACATCTCATCATGATTTTTTACGTAAAAAATATCTCTTTGTAAAAATCGCTACGAGCAACCGTTCTTAAGATATTTAGCATGGAAATAGACGAAAAATAAACACGTTGAGTAGATAGTTATTTCTCTGAAATAATAAATTTGGGTTATTTTTAATTTTTTAAATTAATCATAAATTTTTCTGCAAAAAATGATGATAAAACAGTTTCTGTTGAACATTTGGCACAAAAAAACATTTCAAATTTATGATTTGAGTCTGATAACTATTTAGTCAACATGTTTAATTTATGTCAATGATGACAGGCATTGATAATTTCTATTCCAAATATCTCGAAAACCATTACTCGTAGCGGTTTTTACCAAAAGACCTTTTTCACGTAAAAAACGTCGTAAATGTGTATTTTTTTACTTAGTAGTTTTATACAGGTACAGACGAAAAGTTATTACTCTTCAAACCAGTTTAAAAAATATGTAGGTGGCGCCCTCCACTAGTAGGAGTCATATTGATATCAAAATTAAATTTCTCATGTCAAAAAACTCCCAGACCGCAATTTTCATCCAAATATTGACGTTACTTCAGAAATTATTAAGGAAAAAATCGAAATAAAAATGAAACTTCTACACCCTGTATCTCCGACAATAAGCATTTTAGGACATACATTTATACGAACTTTTTTACTTATTTTTATCTGCAGAATATGTTGCCGAAGTTTCCGGAATACAGTTCGGACCACCCTGTATATAAGATAATAGCTCTATAAGCCTAAAACGGCCTACACACGTAACGATTTATCGTACTGCGCGTTGAACTGCAGATCGTAAAGAAAATCGTACGGCTTGCAGTACAGCCATTTTTTGTACACACGATGCAACACATTGTACTGCCGCAGTTCAGATTATTCACTTTTCGTCGAGAAAGGCTACCGTTATGTCAAGAATTTCAAAGAAGAAAGCACAACGTTTATTCGACGTCGCAGAAGCTTCTAATTTGCTGTAGCACTAGTCCAACGTCGGCACAACGTTATAAAAACGTTTAAATTTATTTTAATACCCATGGTAGGGAGCTAACTATTTTTTGTAACTAATCCAACGTTGTGTTTAGTAAACATGTGGTCGCAAGTCGTGAAAATGCTACTTGGGTAATATCATCTTTAGATGTGGACACCCTATATTTCTTAAAAAAAAACGATCTAAAATTTACTTACCATCACAGGTAACATAGTATTCTGGTGTTATCTGTGTTATCATCAGTGCTTAACTTTTGAAACGTTTCTCAACGACTTTTTGACTGAGAAATCTGTTTTCTAGAAACATGACAGTCTTTCTAGTCAATAAAATGACAGGTAGTATGATAAAACATTTTATCAGGGAAAGGGACGTACCCAGGAAGTTACTAAGTTGTAAAGTTAAGTGATTTCGAGAATTGTAAAGATTATTTCGGCAAAATATTTCGTGGGGTATTTTGCGGATGGTCAGTTTCAGTTGTTCTTCGGGTGTCTTTGAGTACTAGCCACAAGCAAAACTAAAAGGTAAGATATTTAATTAAGTATTTTGTAGAAATATTTTTAACAGCATCATTTAAATTATTCAAAAAATCACATATTCTCTAACTAGTATTATTTATCTTATTTTTTTTTAAATTAAATTAGAAGAGCCATCAATTATTCTGTACCGGGTGTCTCTTAAATAAGTGTAGGTATTTTAAGGGATAATAGAATAAGACAAATGAAACATAAATATTTTCTATTTGCCATTTTTAAAATAAATTTAAAATAACTGAGTTATTTAACTTGACTTATTTAATTTGAACTTAAAATATAAAAAAAAGTTCCTACAAACATGGGTGCGGAAATGCATAGTTTTAAAGTTACTCTTAAAAATTTAAAGAATAGGCCTTTTGTAATTATCTTAAATACCATTATTTTTTTGTATATTCATAGTAACTTTTACTCTCCAAATTTCATTCCAATCATGATGCAAAAAAAAACGCAACGAAGAAAATTTTGCTCAAATTTAAACTGTTACATTTTTGTTATTATTAGCCCTATTTTCATGAATTTTTTAGAAAACTCTATATAATTATAATATCAACTTTAATTCGTAAACTAAGTCTTTTATAAACTTTAGTATTTGGCATATTATACCGGGCTAATCAAAGGGGTTGTTTTTTATGCTAACTTTAAAACACCCTGTGCAATAATTTCGTGTAAAAATTTTCCTAAAATATAATTTTACGGTCAGAACCATGACTCCTGAGCATTTTGTTTTTTAATTCAAGTCAATACAAGTTTTGGTTAATTTTTAAAAGCGAAATGAACTGATCACAATCAATTTGCAATTTTTTCAATTGTCATTACTTTTTGATGTAATTTTTTTTATATGATGAGATGGTTTTGATGACCATGTCGTAACGTCACATTACGCTACATTGGATACTCTATACTAAATTTAAAAAAAAAACGTTAATGGCTAACGATACAGTCGTGGTTTTAATAAACATTTATAACGATAACAGAATTAACGATATTAAAGAATACGTCTAGTGTATATACAGGGTGTCTCAGATTTTAATCGGGAAAATTTAATAGACGATAGAACTTGCAAAAATAAAACAAAAAGTTCATATCAACTTGTAAAATTTAAAGCTACCTTTTCGAGATTAATGGCCAGGGGCGGCGGTGGTGCAACACTGTTAAATTATTTTAAAGGAAAAAATAGGCACGCCACTGCTTTTTTAAAAGTTTCATATTATTTTTGGATTTAGTAATTAAAAATATTGTTTTTTTGTCTCCTGACTTTTTTGTCTATCTTGCTTACTTCTTGCGAAAAAAATTAAATTCATTTATTCACTCCACCCTGGACAATAAATTAAATAATAATGGTTAGTTACAACAATTACAACAATTGTTCGAATTGATAACCACGAGCGCTGGATTGGTCGTTTAGGGCCAGTCGCTTGGCTACCTAGGTCCCCAGACCTTACCCCTTTGGATTTTTATTTGTGGGGGATAATAAAAGCAAAGGTGTATGAAACAGCAGTTAACACTAGTGGGTAAATGAATTTGTAGATATATTACGACTTTTCTTGGAACTTTAGTTTCGGAGATATAAATTTATTCGGACCTTTTTAAGAAAATTAATTTTATTTTTCAGAAACTATTTGAGACAGAGTTTACCAAAAATGCTTTTTATATCTACTAGTGGGTAAATGAATTTGTAGATATATTACGACTTTTTTTGGAACTTTAGTTTCGAAAAATAAATTTTAGAATCCAAAACGCAATCAATGATGAAAATCCGGTCCAGATTTCAAGCGCAGTACATTCCGTAGTTGGTCGTTGCAGAAAATGCGTTGATGTTAGTGGTTATTATTACAATTCGAACAATTATTGTAATTGTTGTAACTAACCATTATTATTTAATTTATTGTCGAGGGTGGAGTGAATAAATGTATTTAACTTTTTTCGCAAGAAGTAAGCAAGATAGGCAAAAAAAGTCAGGAGACAAGAAAATAATATTTTTAATTACTAAATCCAAAATAATATTAAACTTCTAAAAAGCAGTGGCTTGCCTATTTTTTTAAAATAATTTAACAGTGATGCCCCACCGCCGCCCCTGGCCATTAAACTTAAAAAGGCTTAAATCTAATTACATCAAATTAAGTCCCATAGTAAGTATTATAAACGGGTCAAGTTATATCAAAATCGATTAAATAGTTTTTCAAATATCTTAATATTTTTTCTTTTTTAAGTAATTTTAACACCCTGTATCTCGAAAAGGAAGCTTTAAATCTTACAAGTTGATATGAACTTTTGTTTTATTTTGCAAGTTCTATAGTCTATTAAAATTTCCCGATTAAAATCTGAGACACCTGTATATATATATTTGGGATTAATCTATAAAAATACAGTTACTGTACTATACAGATTATACAACTAAATGTTGCCTTCCCAGTCTCAATCGCCAGCCATCTCTGTCGTACACGAGATCTTCTTCGATATTCCGATCTCTCATCGCCTGTCGTATACCATCGTTCCAGGATCGACGCGGGCGTCCCCTTTTGTTTCTTCCAGTGGGTGACCATTTGAATACACGTTTTGGCCATCTTGTGTCCTCCATCCTCATTAGATGACCAAACCATCTCAAACCTCTTTTCTCTATTCGTTGAATTACTGTTTCTTGTGCCGATGTTCTGTTTCTGATTTCCTCGTTTCTCACTCTTTGTAATCTGGACACTCTAGCGCTTCTACGTAAGTAATCCATCTCTACAGCCAATATTCTCCGTTTATCTTCTTCTCTTAGGGCCCATATCTCACTCCCATAGCATAAGACCGATTCTACCATTGTTTGGCCAATCTAGTGTATCTATATACTCAACAAACATCTAGTGAATCAATACTCAATTATATAAACAGAAAAAAATTGTAAAAATACCATAGTACTTTGTATTGCCCCTCTCCGTTAGCTGCTATAGTGTGACCAACGGATCTGTAGCTACGGGTATCGGCAGGGGAACGCAGTTGTAAACAACCTACGTTAAAATTCCTTAGTAATATACGTCAGAATATATGCTAAACACATTATATATAATAAAAATATATTAAATTTATAGTTCATGTCTGGCAATTTTGCAATTTTATAGATAAACGTGGCAATGTCGATTTTTTTTTCTCGCATTCCTTCCGTAGCTTCAGATCCGCTGGTCAAACAGTACAACTGTCTGTATACGTCCATTCATACCATAGAGTTGTTCATACTTTCATTGAGGCTGCATATATCGTATTGCGATATGTTTTCCCATTCTTCTTTAAGGACCAAGCGAAGTTTATTTAATGAAGTTGGCACTGCTTCGCGACCTCTAAATCTCCTGCCACGTATTTCCCAAACGTCGAACATGATGGGCAGTTCATATAGTAGTATATAGTTCACAATAATCACCAAAGCCACCTTGTCATAGTGAAAAATAACTTCAAAAAGATAATTGAAAAAATTGCAAATTGTTGGTGGCAAGTTCATTTCACTCTTAAAAATTAACCAAGGCATGTTCCAAAAAACAAAACGCTCAGGAGGCATGGTTCTGACCGTAAAATTATATTTTAGGAAAATTTACACACGAAATTTTTGCACAGGGTGTTTTAAAGTTAAGGTAAAAAACAACCTCTCGTTTAACCCTGTATAATTTATCAAATACAAAAGTTTATAAAAAACTGACTTTACGAATTAAAGTTGATATAATTATATACAGCTTGCTAAAAAATTCATGAAAATAGAGCTAAAAATAACAAAAATATGACACTTTAAATTTAACCAAAAATTTCTCCGTTGCGTTTTTTTTTGCATTTGAGTGTATAAAAATATATTTTTATATGTGAGCTATACACTTGCTTGCATACTGTGTAAAATAGGTTATAGTGAAAATTTCAAATAGAAAACTGGATTGCAACTTTTCCGGGTCTCTGGGCCACCCTGTATACATAATAAAAATTTCTGAGGAACATATGAAATACATTTTTGTCCCGGACAGTTTCCAAATATCTGGGATCAGAATGCATAATATTATTTTAACTATTTACCGAACTATTTACATCATTAAAACTACACAATATTCATTAATTTCAGCATGGAGAATCTCGTACTTTACCTCACGTTAATCATCACATTCCTCATTAGAGAATTTAACGCTGAAACGCTAGAAATACTGTCAAGTACCCCACCAACGGATCCGTTTAAAAATGACAACAGCAACGTTGAAAAGAAAGAAGTAGATGTGCCGGAAAACTCCCTGCAAAACTCACTGGCCACCCAAAACACCCAACACCCTGTACAAGGGTACATGCCCCAGCCGGTTTATCCTATTTATACCGGAGGGTACTTTTACCCAGGTATCAACCCTAATTCGGTAATGGAGACCAATCAGCAGGTTCAAAATAGCGGCACGTATTTATCTTCGGTACTACCTGTAGCACAGGTAAGCTATTTTATTTATTATACAGGGTATCTAAACTTTCTAGGATAGTGATTAGTGAAAACTTTACTTTAAATATATATTTAAATCACCTTGTATATTCATAAAATTATTTTTCAAATTAACAAACCAACTATTGTCCGTATAGTTTACAGATAAATCCGAATGAAAATCTCAAATTCAAAACCCGATATACATCTTTTTGAGTCAGTACCTGTATAAGGATCATCTATACAGACCGGACCACCGTAGTAGTAACATAGGCAGAACCGGACGAATTAGTGTATACCCGTCCGCCGGATAAAAAGCAGGCGAAAAAATGCTGTAAAATAAAAATAGGTCGATATGTGATAAGAATGTTTCAGAATTTGTATTTATTCATGTTTTAATAGCCAAAACGAATACGTAGATTCTCGCGACAGTTATCGTGTAAAATTTATTTTTTAAGTAAAATAATGATGTTTATGAAGTTCGTGAGAAAATTCAAATTGTAAAATGGTATTTCCAAAATAGGTCTTATCGGGATATACAAACAATTTTTTCACAAACTTTTGTAAACAGACCAATTCCATCTTTATCTACTATATCAAGAGTTATTAATAATTTTGAAACACATGGGTGCGTGTCCCCACAAAAACACAAAAAGCCTGATGTGTTGATTAATGAAGAAGAGGAGTTAAGGCAAGTGTTCGTTTGTGCTACCGCGGATCAAAATCCCACGTTTTCAAGTAATCATATTGCTCAGGTGGTGGCCCTGCACAATGCCCGTATTGTTCAAGGATATTTTTTTGAACAATACTTTTCCCAACCGTTTAATTAGTGGACATGGAACTACTTTGTGGCCCGCTAGATCACCAGATCTTTCTCCCAATGATTTCTTTTTGTGGGGTTATGTAAAATCCAAAGTGTATAATAGGGCTAATAATCTGGATGAGCTTCAAGTAAAACTACGAGAGGCTTTCCAAACTATTAGCCCTAATATGTTAGCCAATGTCAGACGGGGATTTTAGGACCGCATAGGCTTCTGTCTAGCATAAGAAGGTGGTCTTTTTGAACACTTGTTATAACTTTTTTTTTATTTAGAGTAATATTATAGTTTTTTTTGGGGTTTAGAGAATTTATTTATTTTTAGTTTTGGCTTGTAATCACACTCAAATAATAAATATTTAAGTATTTTTATTTTAAATGTTACCTTAAGTCACGGTAAACACTTAAAATGAAAATAATAAATACACGGCACTCCTCGCGTCATATTCCTAGTCTGTCACGACCGATCCGTCCAAGCACAACTGCAACTGCGTACTGCCTGACCAGCCGACTAGCCGGCAGTGACTCTCGAGTACGAACGCAAAACGGGTAAACGTAAATTCGTCCTGCAACTTACTATGTTACTAGTAGCCTGGTCTTCTCTGTATAGACCATACAGGTTAAAATAAATAGATACATAAATAATAGATACATCTATACTTCCGTATAGACTATAGTATAGTAATTAAGTACGGTGATATACAGGGTGGTCTGAATTGTATTCGGGAAACTTCGGCAGCATATTCTGCGGATAAAAATAGGTAAACATGTTCGTATAAATTTATATCGTAAAATTCTTAGTTTATGAGATACAGGGTGTAGAAATTTTATTTTCACTTTTTATTTCTGAACTAAGGCCGTTTATTGGATGAAAATTAATGTGTGTTTTTTTGACAAGAGAAATTTGATTTTGATGCCAGTATGACTCCTATTTGCAGGGGGCGCCTCCTGCATATGTTTTAACTGTTTTGGAGAGTAATAACTTTTCGGCCGTACTTGTATAAAATTACTGAGTGAAAAAATATGCATTTCCGTGGCCACTTACGTAAAAAATGTCTCTTGGTAAAAATCGCTGCGAGCAACCGTTCTCAAGATATCTAGATTAGAAATAGTCAATAACATGTCATTATTGACAAAAAATAAATACCTACGTTAAGTAGATATGACTGAAATAATAAATTTGGTAAATTATTATTTTTTTAAACTAATCATAAATTTTTCTGCGAAAAAATGATGATAAAACAATTTCTGTTGAACTTTTCGCACTAAAACATTTGAAATTTGTGATTTCAGTCTAATAACTATTTATAATAGTCAACATCATGTTTAATTTAAGTCAATGATGACAAGTATTGATAATTTTGATTCCAAAAATCTCGAGAGCATTAAGGTACATTCAGGCCGAGAGCGTCGAGCGTCGCGTCGCGTTAGCGTCGCGTCCGCCCCATTAAACTCGAACCCCGACGCTCAGCGGACGCTAGCGCAATGCCAAAAGCGACGCTGTCTGCCTGAACGGTCTAATTTAAGTAAAGTGAATTGATTCCATTTCGACACGCGGACGCGACGCAAACGCGACGCGACGCTCGACGCTCTCAGCCTGAATGTACCTTTACTCGTAGCGATTTTTACCAAGAGACCTTTTTTACGTAAAAAAAGTCGTAAATGTATATTTTTTTACTCAGTAGTTTTATACAGGTACGGACGAAAACTTATTACTCTTCAAACCAATTAAAAAATATGTAGGTGAGGCCCTCTACAAGTAAGTAAGTCATATTGATATCAAAATCAAATTACTCATGTCAAAAAACTCCCAGACACACAATTTTCATCCAAATATTGACGTCATTTCAGTTGGCAAGTTGGAAAAAATCGTAAATAAAAATCAAACTTCTATGTACCCTATATCTCCGAACTCAGCATTGTAGGGCATATATTTATACGAACTTTTCTACTCATTTTTATCTGCCGACTATGTTGTCAAAGCTTCACGAATTCAATTCGGACCACCCTGTACAGGGTGGCGCCTCTCATACGCCGTGGAGGCTCCAAGGAGAACGGGAGCTTATAAAGAAATGAAATTTTCGAAGCATATGTAGGTTAGTTCAGAGCACTTTTTAAAAATATAAAGAGTTCTATTTCTATAGGGTGTCCCCAAAAAAGTTACATAATAAAGCTGTATTTTTTTTAATGGAACACCCTATATATTAATTGATTTTCGGATTCTGGGAGAAAAATAAAATTGAGTTTTATAAGAGAACTTTATGACTGTAAGTTATTAACTGTAAGTTTTTTGACATATTTAACATTTTCTAGAAATAAAGAAAAATTTTTAAATTACAATAAAATTAAAACTTGATCCAAAAAGTTATACACGGTGAGATGAGAATAAATATTGAACATTGGTCACCTTTAAAAGCATGTTACTCTTTTATTTTAAATGGAACACCCAGTATATTATTCCGATATTCAATGGAAAATTCATGTCTCTTCAAATTACTATTAAGGTTGCCTACCCCTTAAACGAAGATTTTCCTAGATATTTTTATTTACATGATTTGATTTGAGTAGATCTTTATTATTTGATAAAATTTAGGTGGCTGTGATATGTCTGACGTTACTTCAACATAGCTGTCTAATTAGTCCAACTTTAACACTAGTTATCATTTTGTGTCAGTGAAAACAAAAAAATTTCTCAGAAATTTGCCGAAAATGCAAACTTATCCTACATCAGAAAGAATTGATATGATTCTATTAGTTGCAATTTCAATTAATAGAATACTTAAATGCTCCTGATTTTATCTATTTTTTATGGGAATATGTTAAAGACAGTGTTTAAAAAACTCAACCAACTATTGTCGACAACATGAGAGAAATTATTGTATAGTAAACGCCACGAATGTTTGGGAGTGATTCATCGGTCACTACCATGTGAACTAATCTGTTCAAGGTCACATAAAACTTAATTCCAGTGCCGTGGTCTTTCAAGTCATATAATAATCAATATATAATCTGTTGTAATTTGTTGTTTTAACTGTCAAAGTCTTGTCAAAACATATATTTGGTTATAAATATAAAATGGAATACCCCATTGGTCGCACTGCAAGCACACCAATGGACTGACGCACAAAAACGAATCAATCAAAGAAACGCGATATAGTATCGTCTTTGTCAATCACGCTAACATTTTAGAATAAGTAGGAGGAGCGCAGGCAGATGATTAGACCGGGCCTTTAAAACCTACGTCTGCGGTAAAAATTTACGTTTTTAATGTAAAAATGATAGCGCGCGTGTCGATTCTAACTTCATCAAGCGATGAATCACTCCCAAACATTCGTGGCGTTTACTCTAGCTGCTTTTCGAGGTAGAACCATTGGCGTAACTACAGGAGAGCCCGGGGGTGCCCCCCCCCCAGGTGCTGCTGAGCACCTCCAGAGAAATCCTGAATTATGACTCTTGGCTAAGTATTAATTTTTATTTGCTTGTGATGCAGTAAAAATGACGTTTTCTAGTTTTGTTTAGTTAATATTATTTTGTTGTGTTCAAAAAATGTGTTAATTTTTATTTTTTTAGAAAATTTGTAGGTATTTAAGTAATCTACAGGAACACGGTTTGATAACCAAGTCTATGAAATTTATTGATAGAAAAATTCATGTAAACGTTTTATTCAAAACATGTGTTTTTTAAATTAATTTTCATTTTTAAGAAAACAAAGTCCCTACGTGTAACTTTTTATTACTGTTGAGTATTGTACTACACAATCTTTAATTTTTGTTAAATGAACAAAAGGTATTTCACAGCCACCTAGATTTTTTCAAATAATAAAGATCTACTGACGCAAAATCATAAAAATTAAAATATCTAGGAAAATCTTTGTCTGAAGGGTAGGCAACCTTAATAATATTTTGAAGATATATAAATACCCCATTGAACACCGAAAAAATATACTGAGTGTTCCATGTGAAATAAAGGAGTAACTTGCTTTTAACAGTGACTAATGTTCCATATTAATTTTGTCTCACCCTGTATACATTTTCGGGTCAAATTTTAATTTGGTTTAACGTACAATGGTTACTGTAATTAAATATCAGGCTATACAAGGTCAACTAAAATAATTTAGGTAGCTGTTATCGAAATTTAAAATTTACTCTTCATTATCACAAAATGTGAAATATGCCAAAATCCTTAGATTTAGGTATAAAACTAGGTTAATAAAACTCACCTTTATTTTTTTCCTAGAATCCGAAAATCAATTAATATATAGGGTGTTCCATTAGAAAAAACACAACTTTGATGTGTAACTTTTTTTGGGGACACCCTGTATAACTATATATATTATATAGCTAAAATTTCATTTCGATATAAACTACCGTTCTCCTTGGAGCTTCCGCGGCGTATGAGAGGCGCCACCCTGTATATACATATTTGGCAGAATTATTGAACGATGTACTTAAACAGCCGTTAAACGGTAGCCTACTAAAATGCCTTTAATAGATACCACAGTAGATACTGTGACGTCGTTCATGTCGGCGGAAAGTAATGCCTAGCCATAAGCATATTGCAAGAGCACCTGTGGCTCCGTGGCTGAGGCTATCGGTTCGTGAGCGAATTACGAAGGTTTTTTAAGAGTTTTTTCCTCCGATTCTACGGATCTGATTTAAGTAACCAACATATTTATTAAAGTAAAACACGTCGGCATTGCCTCTATACTCCCAATGCATGTGTGAGCAAAAGCGGAACATGCAGTCCTCGCCCGGTCAATAAAAGAGCTACCTAGGGCAAACACCGGCCCCCCTGTTCACAGGGTTCGCTTAGGTGGTTGAGTGCTTCGTCAGAAGAACAACATACCATCTTATCATGTTATTTTATTTATTGTATATATTGTATATAGCACCTTTTTATTGTATTTAAGGAGACATTCTCAATAAATGCTTTGAAACTTGAACTTGGTTCGTGAGCGAATGGTCCGGGGTTCAAATCTCACGCTGACCAAGACTTTTTTATATTTTTTTTTGCTTATAGCGTGATCTTATTGCATTGGTTTCACTCTTTTTGGTTGGATTGGTTTAGTTATTTGGCGGGTTGGTTAGCGTGGTTATTTGGAGGGTGTTAATTCATTGGTTAGTTAGTTATTTGGTGGGGTTTGTTGGTTTTTCCTAATTTATATTTGTCTTTTAAATTTTTTTATCAGTGTCGAGGTTAGTTGCGTTGGTTAAGTTGGTTATTTGGTGGGGTGGATAGCGTTGGTTAGTCCTTATAGAATTCCTATATTTCATAAAGCCGTCAAGTGCGTCATATCAACGACGTCATACCTATTAACGGTATTTTAGTAAGCTACCGTTTAACGGCAGTTTAAGTACAGCCATTATTGAATGCTGTTGATTTTTTTAATCGTTGCATTTTTTAGATGGGATTTGAAATTATCCGTAATCTCTTTCTGTATTTTCTCATAAGATATTTCGTATTAAAATTAATTAAAGTTTTTAATCTGATTTTGGAACTTCGTGACGTTTTAATAACAGACGAAACTTCCGTTCTTCTTACTAAGGTAATTAAACGTAAATAATACAGGGTGGCCCATCGAAAACGTTCCGCAAGGCATAACGGCCAGGGTATTCTTTTTTTTTAAATCCAAAAATTGTTTGTGGGGGGGACAACTTTTGCCCCAAAAATGATTGCGAAATCTTCAATCCTCTAAGCGGGGGTATCATCCCCCAACATTTTTCAAATGGGAAATGACCCCCTTTCGTGTGGCACCGCAATGAAAAGACCTTTCTATTCTTTATATTTCCCTGCCTCGTTTTTCAAAAATCCGTCGAATCATTGAGAAAATATGAAGGATTGAAATTTGAAAAGTTATTGAAACATTTATCAGAGTAAAGAATAAGGATAAATTCTTTCGACCAATTTGAGGTTTTTTCTTATTATTTCTAGATGTTTACACATTTTTCACTTGCCACAAGATTGAACGATGAGGTGCGGTATAGTTGCTAGATAGCTGTTCTGTGACTTGTGCGTTGAAGTTCTTCTCAATATCGTTAAACTTACTCACAATAGAATTTCCAAAAATACCAGTCCAACCGTTCAATTTATGAGGGTTTTGTGTGTGCACCTCGTGAAAAACCCTGGGGTTGTCTTCAGCCCAGTACCGACCAGTTGTGCCGATTAACCAGGGCCGTATCTGGGGGGGTGTTTTGGGGGTTCAAACCCCCCCCCCCCGAAATTATGGCCGAAAATTTTTAAAAAGTAATGATTATTAAGTAAGTAAGAACGAAACAAAAAAGAAGAAGAAGATGGATGAATATCAATGACTAAAGAATACAAGGACATGAACGCCCATATACGGGCTGCAGCAGAATTTGTGACCTTAGACGCCAACTTTTTAGACATAACGAATGAATCATCAGCTGGTCATCAGCGACAATTTTAGCGATTTTTAATAGTTGGTTGTGTGTAGTGAACTTTGTATAAACTTTATTACAATGGTAATTTGTTCAGCTTTCAAGTGTAAAAGGCGCAATGATAAGAAAGAGCCAGAAGTTACGTTTTATAGGGAAATAAACAGTCCCCTACACCTTTTTAGCTTTTTTTTATTGAATTCGATAATTATTTTTCTATTATATGTACTTGATATGTACTATACGTCGATACTAGTTATGTACCTTTTGTTAACATTTTAATACGTTTTTTTCGTAATTAATTAGTATGATACCACCCGATACACCATAGGCGTAGTGAAAACATATAATATCAAAAATATAAATATCCCTTCAAGCGGCAATGTTAAGTAAAATATGTGCCACGGCACTGTTTGGAAGAATGGTCACAGTTTGGTCTCGGGTGCTATTTGTCCTTGTATTTTTTAGTCATTGATGAATATACATTATACACCCTAACCTCAGTTTTCCACTTTGAAAGCAAATGTTATTTTCGATTTTCGACTTTCAACATTCAAGTGTTTAAAACAGCAAAAGACAAGGACAAGATTTTGAATGTTGTGAATTTTGCTGGTCATTAACGTGATTAACGTTTGTTATTGTTCTGCTATTAGACAAAGAACTTGGGCTATGACACTTTAGCGGCACAACTAGACTTGTGACGGCAAAATGGAAGCAGCTACCTGCAGTCGACCGACCTAAAAACGTCATCGAAACGATAATCGGACTGTAACCAGTGTATATTTCCAAATATATACATTTTATTAATGATCCTAGCAACTCTACCAGCGTCAACAGCTACACCAGAAAGGTCTTTTTCAACCCTAATGCCGCAACCGCGCATGCGGTATTCGGCGATCTCCGATCGGGGCTTCGCCGACTTCCTATGTGTGTGGATGAGGAAGTCGGAGTTCGGCGACTCGATCGGCTACGAGAACGAGCGCTTATTTCTATGTTGTTGCTATCAGAGCGCGCATGTGTGGATGGAAAGGCGAAGTCCGATCACGAGCGTTCGGTACTACCGAACGCTGGTGATGTGATGTATATATATATATGATATATATATATATATATATATATATATATATATATATATATATATATATATATATATATATATATATATATATATATATATTTTCTTTTTTTCTTCAGTTTTTAAGTCGGCGCTAGACAGTGGCGTATACAGAGGGCCCATGGGGCCAAGGCCCCCTAAAATCTCTAAATTGGGTTAAATATTAGGCTTTTGGGTTAAAAATGGTGTTCTAAAAAGCATATTCTACAGTACTTTTTATTTGGCCCCCCTAAAATAAATTCCTGTATCTGCCCCTGGCGCTAGACGATATGCCCCCCTGAGGGTATATAATATGACTGCTACTGATAGCATTTGAATTTCGTGAAAATATTTGTATTGAAATTTATTGTCAAAAGTAACAAATATTATTTTTTTAATTTCTATATAGGCATACTAAGATGAATTAAATAAGTTTTAAATTTTTCTTCGCAGCCAATTTTAAAATAAAAGCATTCGTATGAGCGTTGATTTCTCGAACTTTTATATAAAATAGGTTGCCGAAAAAAAAAAAAAATACTGTCAATTTTAATTTTTTTTTTTTTTCATTTGTTGATTTTTAACTAATTTCGTTACGTTAAACCGTTTTTTAACGTCGTAAAAAAATTACGACGTTAAAAATGTTTTCATTTTCATTTACAATCTAATTATTATTATTCACAATCTAATTATTCTAATTGTATTTATTTATTTAAATAATTTTTTTTAATAAATAAATATTGTTAATTTTTATTAATTTGTTATATTTTATGCAAAAGTATAATATTATAATAGAATAGCCCTTAAACTTTACACATAGTATCAAACCACTGTGCTGCGAATATAATTAGTTTTTGTTTGCACTCCAAACATTTTTTTTTGCTTGAGGGGGATGCTACCTCACTTATAAAAACAAAATATATCTCCGACACCTATTATACTGTCAGTTCTTAAATTCGAAATACGTTTTCTAGTGCGTTCATCTTGTTACTTGTTTTTTTTGTTTCTGTTTTTGAAGAAGTATACGAACGTGAATAGCTAAAATGTCGAAACGAAGTCCAATATGGCTTTATTTTTCGATACGCGACGAAAAAAAAACTGCCCAATGTGATGTGTGTAAAACGAAAATTGGATACAAATACTCTGTTTCAAATTTAAAAAAACATTTTTTTAAACAACATCCCAATATAAAAATTGTCCAAGGCAAATGTAGTGTTGAAAGTGAGACTGTTTTAAATTCGGGAAATGAAATGAAACCAACAATGAACAGGGGGCATCTGAATCAACATCATCGGATGGGAATTTCGCAACAGAGGTAATTGAACCTATGGCTGGGCCTTCTAAACAGCAAATTCTTAAAAGAAAACAAGAAACTCTTACATCGTATATCCCAAGAAAAATTTCTACAACTGCGAAACACAAGATAGACAATGAACTGTTAGGACTTTTTATATTCGATTACCAACCGTTTAGTGTAGTTGAAGATCGCGGATTTAGAAATTTTGTTAATCATTTAAATCCATCATATAGCTTACCAACTCGGCAAACTATTTCAAACACTCTTATCCCTTTGGAATATGAAAAGTGTTACGAAAGGGCAAAAGAAGAAATTAAAAAGGTTGTTAATATTTGCCTAACTACTGACTGTTGGACATCTGTAAAAATGAAGGACATATGGCAATAACCGGTCATTACATTGACAATAATTTTAAAATGTCCTCTATATTATTAAGTTGTGATTTACTAGAAGAAAACCACACTACCCTAAATTTAGCTTCTAGATTCAGAGATGTTTTAAAAGATTGGCAATTAGAGAAAAAAGTTATTTTGGTCGTATCAGACAATGCAAGAAATATTAAAAGTGCAATAACTAATGAGTTAGGTCTGAAATATTTTGGTTGTTTCGCCCACACACTTAATTTAATCGTACAGGATTCTCTAAAATTAGTGACAGACGTTTTGGACAAAGTAAAAAATATTGTAGCACATTTTCGGAGAAGCACCGTTGCTAACACTAAATTAAAAAACTTTCAGAAGCAATTTGGTATTGATCCTCCAAAATGTTAATACAGGATGTTATTACTAGATGGAATTCTACATTCCATATGATTCTAAGATTTGTAGAACTCCAAGATCCGCTAAGATCCGTAACTTGGGTTTGTTAGATGCTCGTTTGCCACATTTGGATGCTGACGAATGGACTCTACTAAAAGAACTCTGTGATGTTTTAAAACATTTTGACGAAGCTACCAAAATATTAGTGGACAAAATTATATATCTGCTGCACTTGTGATTGTTTTACAACGTGGTCTGTTAAATATTTGTGAGAGAATGAAGACCTGAGAACATTCTAAATTCAACAAAACTGTGATACAGAGCTTGGAAGATGGTTTGCGAAATCGGCTAGGAAATGTAGAATACAGCAATACCTTAGCTCTTGCAACATTTTTAGATCCAAGGTTTAAAATATACCCATTTAAGCATGACGACGCCGTAGAAAACGTTAAAAAATTAGTTTATAAGTCTGCTTACAGAAATTATAAACAAAAGGAATAATGTGGAAAACCTTCAACATTCAAATCAACCTCCCCAAAAAAGCTCTGAAAGCTCTTTGAAGGAATCCAGTTCCAATACTTTTACACTCTGGGACTGTATTGATAAAAATGTGATTAAAAACAGACCTAAATCATCATCAGCATCAAGCCGCGCAATCATCGAGATGCAACGATATTTGGAAGATGATATCTTAGATCGCAACTGTAACCCTCTCGATTGGTGGAAAAATAACCACTACAACTATCCTTACCTTAGTGAAATTGTTAAGCACAAATGTTGTACCCTTGGTAGTTCAGTTCCTTGTGAAAGAATATTTTCGAAGGCAGAATATTTATTACAAGAGCGCAGAAACCGAATGTCACATAAAAAATTCAGTCAACTTTTATTTCTAAATACATATAAACTGCAATTTTCCAATTAAATGATATTTATAAATATATCTATTCCTATTTATACAATATATTATATTTTGTTTTTTCCTTAGAGTACATATATATATATATA